GTTCTATATATCCAGGTTTTCATTGGGTACTTTTATCTTTTTGTCTGAGAGATTTCCCTTATCTTGTAATAATGCTCTGTTGATGAAATAGTTTTCCACTGTTGTTTTTAAGAATATCTGCTTGTTGCATTTTTATTCAGTGTCTACAGGATTTCTTTAATTTTCCCTTGAGCACTTTAAATGTTTTCCTTGTCTTCCTGCTCATATAGTTTCAGATGAGATGCTTGCAGTCAGTGTACATTTGTTACTGTGTAAGAAATGTGTATTTTCTTCGTGAATTTAAAAGGTTTTCTGTTTGTTATTCTTTTTCAGCAGTTTGAATATAAAGCACCTTACTGATGTATGTTTGTGCTTATCATACAGTTTGCAAAACGAACAGCTATTACTTCACTAGTTGTTTTCTCTTCTTCCCTCTGACCCCAGCCTGACCCTCGTTAGACAAGTTTGTGTTGTCCTAAGGGTGCTGTGGTACTATGGTTGTCCTTTCTGAATTTGTGTTTTATTTTGAATAGTTTTAAAAAATGCCTTTAAGGTCAGTGAGATTTTCTTTTGTTGTTTTTAATTAGATGTTGTCTAACCTCAGTGAGTTTTGTTCATATTTTCAATACTTAAAGGGCTGAGAAAGGAAAAGCAAGAAAGATACGACTAAAAGAAGAAAGACAGTATTAAAAGACATGAACTTTATGCTCTCATAATTAGACTTCAAACTTACGTTAAAGGCTGTAACTTGGAAACACTTGAGTTAGCATAGAAATGTTTTATATCTAGATATCTGGCTGTCCCTCTGTCTGTCTGTCTCTGTAAACATGGACCTTGTTAACTGATGTGAGTTTGCCAAGTATGACCATTGTCTTCTGTGTTTTTGTTTTTTTTTTTTTTTTTTTTTTTTTTTTTTTTTTTTGTGTGTGTGTGTGTGTGTGTGTGTGAAGTTGGTTTTATTGAGACATGGTCTCTCTATTCATTTCAGGCTGTCCTTGAGCTCACTTTGTAAACCAGGCTGTTCTTCAACTTACAATGATCCTCCTGGCCTCAGCCTCCTGAGTGCTGGGATTATAGAGTTTCACATGCCCACTTTGACCATTATCTTTTGTACAGAGAAATTAGTATTTGATTAGTCAGAACAGTTACATATCTGAAGCTCATGAGTAGAAAAAATAGAGATAATGAAATATGAGAAATTTTAGAGGGGTAAGTTTGTTAAGTTGGTTCATTAGCTAGAAGGAAAAGAATTTCAGTGAGCTGCTGAATGTGAGAAACATGTCTTGAATAGGATAGATCAGAAAAGAAAAAAATGCAAAAATTAAAGTAGAAGTTCTTGCTGAGAGGTAAAGTAACAGTGCAGACAAATAGTATTTTGATAGTTTATAAGCTACATGAAACATCTGTGATAAAACCAATCATGTCAAAAAATAATAACGTAGATCATGATTGGATAGCAGAGAAAGAATTTCAGAGTAGACCAGGACATTGGTCTAGAAGATTAAGTGAAAAAGCCACAGCTAAGTTGTGTATTTGTCAAGTTTCTTTAAAATGGGTATTCACAATTAAGACTTGTCAGAGATTAAAAGTTGGCTTCTGTAATATCGCCTTAATTTCCTGTTTTTTTTCTCCCCATTGTTAACAGCCATGTTGTTATTTCAATAATGGTCTCTGTCCTTTGGGCTTATGGTCCTTTAGTCTCTGTCCGAGGTTCTTAAGCCAAAAGTGATCCTTGAAATATTTATTCTTTGTTTGAGTAGATTCAGACACAGACACGCGACTGGTGGAGTGACTTATCAGTGTGTGCTAAACAAGATATCTACATTCTTGTTTATAGTACTTTGAACTGGGCTGTTTTGTTTATCAGCTTCTGAAAGCAGCTTGTTTAATCTTCCATCAGGATCAGTTATCAATGTCTTTACTGTTGTGTAAATGTTCAAAAGTTTGTTTCATATAATTAATGACTTCAGTATTCAGGCCTTCAAGCCATTTATCTTTTTTTGTGAAAATTTACATTTGTGTTTTTATCTTTTCATGTTTTCTTTTAACTGCATTTTCTGACAGACTATTGGATTCTGTATTTTGATCCAGTCTGCCAGTCTGTGCCTTTTAATTGGGTAGTTGAGGCTGTTAACACTGATACTTGCTGAAATGTGCAGAGGACTATATTTTCTATCATGTACTCTTTCTGTGTTGGTGACTCTTGTTTTTCTCTTCTTGTAGTTTGTTGTTGGTTATACATTGATGTTGCCTGGTGGTTTGATTTCATGAGGTTTCTTTTAGCTTTATTGTTTCATTGTTTCTATTTAGGATATTTGTGGCTATTTTCTGGAGTGCTGGTTTTGTAGTTTCCTTTCTGTCACTCTCTTTGTCATTCTGCCTGTCTCTGTCTTTGTCCCTCTTCCCGTGTCATCCCTGTCCCTTTTACTGTCTCCCTTCCCTTACCCACTCTCCCTTTCTCACTCTTCCACCACTCTCCAGCTCTCCCACCCGCTCTCCCTCTCTCTTCATCTCCCTCTTCTATTCCTCCATCTCTCCCTCCTCTTCTCCCAATTTCCCTCTCCCTTTACTCTCCCCAACCTCCTCCCTCTACTTTTCCCCTTTTCTTTCTCCCCAGGGTCTCATTATGTAATTCAGGCTGACCTTGAACTCATTGTATAGCCTCACTGTGATCTTCCTGCCCCAGCTGCCCTGCCCCAGCTGCCTGGGAGCTGGGATTATAGGCATGTACCACCATGCTTGCCTCTCTGACTACTTTTAGAATTCCGAGTTTTTGTTGGCTGTTTGGCAGTTTAATGAAGATACGTCTTGGTGAGCTGCTCTTTTTGTCATAGTTGTTTGGTGTTCTGCTAGCCTCATTTGTAAGTTGAATTCTCATATTTTAGAATTTTCTGCTATGATTTTTTCACATATTAATAATCCCATCTGTGTTATCACTTAGCCATTTTTCTAACTCTTAACTAGCCTTAGGTAGATTTTCTTTTCTTTTTTTTACCGGTACCGGGGATTGAACTCACAACCGCCTGCTTGCAAGGCAGGTGCTTATGTCACTGAGCTAAATCCCCAGCCCCCATTAGGTAGATCTTTTTAGTGTCATCTAGTAGCTGATGATGGGGGGGAGGTCGTTTTCTGAGCACTTCTTAATACACAGTTTTGTCCCCTACCCTCTCTTCGGCCCACTCTTCCCCTTTACAAAACTTTGTTTCCACCACCCCCCCCCCATTTTAAAAAAACCTTTTCTTTCTTTTCAGCCTGGAAAACATAATGTGAGTGAAATAAATGAGGCACACAAACTTAAATACCATGCAGCATCTCTCATTTGAGTAAGGCTGTGTACAAAAACCACAATGAAGGATGGGTAGGATACAAGGAGATAGATCTCTTACAAACGGGAAGGAGTCCAAGTTAGTGTGGGGAGAAGAGAAGGGGAAGCAAGTAGAGTAAGAATGTGTCGCTTACAGGAGTCTAATAACCTCTGTGAGGTAAACATATGTCAAATGAGCTAAGGTTAATAACAAGAATGCAGATGAGGGAAGGAGATGGGGGGGGGTAAAAAAAAAAAACTTAAGCTGTATTATGTACACATGCCCATTCCCCAAGATGATTCTAAACCGCATGTATTGCAGATATGTACTAATTTTTAAAAAGATAGTTGAAAAAAACTTTAGTAAACATTTTTTTCCTGGTCTCAAGTTTTTGTTCTTTAAACTTAAAACATAATTACCTAATAAAATGTTTTCACTATACCTCACTTACGTGTAGTTTAAAGATAATTATTATTTTCTTTGTTTGAACAGTAAAATCAATCTTTGAATGCTTTTTACCTGACCACCATTTTTCCATCTTCCAAGTTTTGTAGTCTGTGCATCTAGTTCTGCCTCCTTATTCTCCTCCCCTCATGAGGTTTGAAAGGGTACTGGTTTGGCTCTTTGACTTTAGGAGATACATACATATATATATATATATATATATATATATATATATATATTTTTTTTTTTTTTTTTTTTTGTCTGCTTCGTTTTAATCGGTACCAGGGATCGAACTCACGACTGCCTGCTTGCAAGGCAGGAGCTTATGCCGCTGAGCTAAATCCCCAGCCCTGACTTTAGGGTATATTAACAAACTTCTAATATTAAATCAGCCTTGTATTTTGATTATATTAACTTAATTTTTAAAAAGTCCATAGTTTTCAAATTTTGGAAGCTGTCCTTTTTTGGCAGCTTGCAGTAATTTACTGATGGTGCTCTCTCAGCCCATTCGACGCTGCAGTTCAGGGAATTCTGACAAAAGCAGCCAGTGAGTGATCAGCACTGCTGTGCAGCACCATGGCACTGCTTGCTGTGAGGGCTGCCATCTTTTTTTTTTTTTTTTTCTTTTCTTGAGTCAGATGTTATTGATACGTGTAGATCTGCATAATGGCCACAGTCGTAATAGTGAATTTGTATTTGGACATGATATAATTTGTTTCTTCTCACTCATTCCTCCACACTCCCATCAGCCCTTCCTCTTCTACTCATTTACAAAACTTTGTTTCCTTTCTCCCCTTATTTTAAAAACTTTTCTTTCTTTTCCCTTTCTCCTATCTTATTCCCCTCCCCATTTGAACATTTTCTTCCTATTTCACAATACCTATTCTGCATTTTGGTCCTCATTTACAGTTATAGTTTCTCACACCAGAGAAACAGTGCAGTATTTACACATGTGTGTCTGATAATTGCACTTAAGAGCATGGTCCTAAGGTGCAGCTGTTTACCCACAAATGTCTCACCTTGCCCCAGTGGAGGGTACTTCAGGAAGTGAGGGGTAATAGCGCAAGTGTGCTCACTGGTTCTGTCCTCACATTCATGGTGTAGAAAAGTGACCAGGAAGGGTATTATTTATTTACTGTTTGATATGGGAAAATGCTAGAGAATGCCTAAACTATTGTATTTTATAAACCTTTAAATTGTGCTTAATGTAGAGTGTAAATACTGTATAAGTCCTAACCCTCAACATTTATATACATGTATCTCTCTTTGTAGGCCTCGAAGTAGAGGAAAAACTACAGTGGAAGATGAAGATAGTATGGATGGTTTGGAGACAACAGAAACAGAAAATATTGTGGAAACAGGTATCCCACAACTTTCTAAGACTGAAAAAACAATATACATAGTAGCTTGCATTCATCTACACATTGCATTTAGCATATATGTAGCAGTGTTCTAAATTGGCATTTATTTATATACCAAATTGTAAAATTCCCATCTGCTTAAATAGTTTGCTAGCAAGCCACAAAGTGAAAAACTGAGTATTAACTCTTTTCCTTGATTTAGTAGGAATTATTTTACGTTTCTGAATGTGCATTTTTATCACAGTGAAATTAAAACTTGAAGAATTAGTAATTGTAGTAATTAGTACAGTTTACTCAGCATATTTTTAACTTCTGACCCTCAGTTATTTAAAGCATATTTTGTTGGATACATATATAGAGGAAAAAAGCTTTCATTAGCAAATGATATGAACTACTGAATTTAAAAAATAGTTTCTGGCCTGTAAGACTTCAAAGTGCCTTTAGTAAGCCCATGTGTATTGTGCATTTGCAGGAGGGAGATTGAGTTCTTCAAAATTTATGGCAAGTCAATGACTTAATAAGTCAGCTAAAGGAACTGAGTTGTACGCTGTATTCAGAGGACAGTCTCACTGTGGTGATATTTGTAACAGCTGTTGGGTAGTATTTAGACTAATACTAGGCTTTCTGCCTGTCTGCCTGAGACAGAGTCTTGCAATGCAGTTTAGACAGGCCATGAACTCACTTTGTAGCCCAGGCTGGTCTTAGACTTGCAATAGCCATCCTGCCTCAGCCTCCCTAGCCTTTCTTTCTGATGTTGAAGATTATCTTGATGCTTACAGAATGCCATTCAACTTTTAGAGAAAAATTAGAGAAATTGCTTTGTCTGGAAATGCGTCATGGTTGCTGCATAGGTTTTAAGTATAATTATAGCTATAATTTTTGGAAAAGCTTTAAGTAATCTGCAGTTCCCATACTCCTTTCTGATAGTCTAGTTAGAGTAGCAAAGTGAGGCTTGGAAGTTCAGAACTCTTTAAATTCATGCTTTCATTATCATATTACTGTGAACTTGAATTTATATGAACTCTATTAGTTTTTTTTGGTAGGATTTTTTGATACTGTACACAGGTTTTTTTTTTTTTTTTGGGTGCTGGGGATCGAACTCACAACCTTGCTTTTGCCAAGCATGCACTTGTGCTGCTGAGCGAAATCCCTGCCTGTACACAAGTAAAAGGACATGTGGCCATTAATTTTCCTCAAACCCCCGCCTGGCTTTGAACACACTTTTCCCTTCCTTCTTGTCACTTCCTGAAGCAGTTCTAAAGTCTTCTTTGCTTTGAAGAAGAACTTTGAAGTTCTTCTTTGCTTTATGAGATGCAATTAAAAGAATCTGTTGAGTGCTGCTAGTGATTATCATTCAACAAAAGGCTGCAAGTGCTGTGGTGCATCCCCATCGCCCTTATTCTCTGGCTTTGGCACTGTGCGATTTCTGGTTGTTAGCCAAAGCCAACTAACCATGACAGGTAAATGTTTCGAATTTATTCAGAATGTGGAGGCAGCCACAACAGCACAATTAAAAGACACAGAAGTGGACTTCCTGCACTAGGTCAGTAAGTGGAAGAACTTACTTGGGATAGGGGCTGAAAGTAAGGGGAGTCTACAGCCATACCACCCTGAGTGTGCTCGATCTCGTGAGGGCACTCAGGGCAGTGTATTTTTATTTTTATTTTTTTTTCACTTTTTTTGAGACAGGTCTTGTTGTGTCTCTCAGGCTAGTTTTTTTTTTTTTTTTTTTGGTCTTTTTCCTTTTTTATTGGTACCGGGGATTGAACTCACGACTGCCTGCTTGCAAGGCAGGCGCTTATGCCGCTGGGCTAAACCCTCCAGCCCCCAATTTCTGTTTTAAATATAGGCTGGGTTGAAGTGATCCTTCAGCTTCAGCTTTTTTATTACTAAGTACTGAGACTGTAGGCACACACCACTACTTTTGGTTGTCTTTTTGTTTTGTTTTTTTGAGACAGAATCTCCCTTATGTAGCCCATTATGGCCTCAAACTGAGTGATCCTCCTGCCTCTGCCTCCCAAGTGCTGGGATTACAGATGTGTGCCACCATGCCCAGTTGGCTTGGCGTGGCTATTTTATTCTATTCTAGGCAGGGTCTCAATATATGTATTTCAGGCTAGCCTTAAACTCACTAGGTAGCTGAACCAACACTGTATGAGAATTCTTTCTCTTCTTTCCAGCATTTGCTATTCTTTGTATTTTCTTAAATTTGCATTTTACTGGAGTAAGAGGATAGCTCATTGTGGTTTGCCACACCAGTGTACCAAAATATTTACTCTATATTCTAATAGTTTCAAATTTCCAGGCTTTATGTTTTAAGTCTTTAATGTGAGTGGATTTTTGAATATGATTGGAGACAGGAGCCTCCTTTCTTCTGAGTATATAGTTTTCCAGTACCATTTATCGAAGATACTTCTTTTTTACTGGTGTATATCCTTGCTGGCTTGGTTGAAACTTAGTTGGTTGTGGATACATAAATTTATGTCGTTTCTTCTCTGTACTGTTCCTTTGACCTCCATAGCTATTTTTATGCCAATGCCATGTTTTGTTTATCATAGCCCTTCCTCCCTCCTTCCCTGTCCTGTCCTCCTGTGTTCCCCTTCCCTTCCCCCTTCTCCATTTCCCCTTCCTCCTTCCCCTCCATTTCCCCTTCCTGTTGATTATGGATGCTTTAGAGACAGATTGTCTCACTAAATTGCCCATGCTGAGCTGTTATTCCTGATCTACCTCAGTGTTTTAAGTTACTAGAATTAGAGATGTATGCTTCTGCATCCATGCCTGTAGAGTTTTGAAATGTGAGTTGTGATGCTTCTGGATTGCTGTGGCTCTTCAAGGTCTTTTGTGGTTCCATACAGATTTTGTGACCCCCCCCCCCCAATTCTGTGAAGAGCATCATTGTTATTTTGGTAGGAGTTATATTGAATCTATTGACTGCTTAAGTAATATGGATATGTTAACATTATTCTGTCCTATGCACAAGGGGTGTGTTTTTCTAGTCCCTTTCAATTTCATTCACTACTGTTTTATGATTTACCTTTTAGAGAATCATTTTTTTTTTTTTTTTTTTTTAGTTAAACATGGTCCAAGGTATTCTATTGTTATTTTTATAGCCATTGTGAACAGAGTTGATCTTTTGATTTCATTCTGAACAATTTCATTATGGTATAGAAAAAAAGCAATAGATTTCTGTATGTTGATTTTATACCCAGCAACCTTATCAGATTTATCAATTCTTCTTTTTTTTTTTGTCTTTTTTTGAGACGCGGCCTCACTATGCAGTTCAGGCCAGCCTCAAACTCGCAATGATCCTCCTACCTCAGCCTCCCAAGTTCTGGGATTACAGGCATGAGCCACCACGCCTGGCTCAGATTTATCAATTCTAAGAGTTTTTTTTGATGGATTTCTTTGGATTTTCTACTTAATCATATTTTCTGAAAATAAGAGTAATTTGACCTCCTTTTTTCCTGTTTTGATACTCTTGGTTTCTTTCCCTTACTTTATTAGAACAGCTAAGGCTTCTAGTACTGTATTGAATAGAATGGTGAAGTGCATGCCTTGTCTTACATAGCTCTGGGAGGGAACAAATGCACTCCTATTTTGAATGATTTAGGTCTGATTTGTCATAGATTAACTCTGATTGGTTTGAGTACATTTCTTGTACAGCGAGTGTTTGGAGGGTTCTTAATTATGGAATTATTTTGATTTTGGGTAGGGTACTGAAGTTTGAACTCAAGCTGTTTGCATTGAGGTACATTGTCAACACCTCTTCCTTCCTTCCTTCCTTCCTTCCTTCCTTCCTTCCATCCATCCATCCATCCATCCATCTTCCGTCTTTCCCTCCTTCCCTCTCTACCTCCCTTCCTTCCTTTTTTCTTCCTTTCTTTGAGTAAGGGTCTCACTGTGTAGTTCAGACTGGTCTTGAACTCACTTAAGTGCAGCCCAGGCTGGTGTCAAACTCACTACAGTCCTCCTGTTTCAGCCTCCCAAGTGTTAGTATTATAGGTGTGAGTCACCATGCCCAGCTAATATGCTAATATTTTGTTAAGTTTTTTATCTGTGTTCTGCCAGGGGAATATTAGTCTATACTATTGTCTTGTGTCATTGTATGGTTTTAGTGTGGAAGAGTTCCTTCTTTTTGTTTGGAATAACTTGAAAAGAATTGCTTTAGTTCTTTAAAAATTTGTTTAATTAAGTTCATCAGTGAAGCTGCCCACTCTTGGGCTTTCCTTTATTGAGAGACTTTTTGTTACTGACTCAAACTCACTACTCGTTATTAATCTCTTCAGATTTTCTGTTCTGATTCAATTTTGATAGGTTGTATATACCTAGAAAATTTTCTTTTCTAAATTTTCCAGTTTTTTGATGAATAGTTTATTGATAATAGTCTTTACTGTTCTGGTGTGTTTTTGTGTTATCTCCTTTTTCACCTCATTTTACTTATTGTTTCTTTCTCTGTTTTCCTTGATTAGTCTAGTTAAGGAAAGTTTTGTCAATTTTATTGTTTCAAGAAACTAACTCAGACTTTTACCTTTTATATATTATGTTTTTAAAATATGTATGTATATATGTTACTAATTTCTTCTCTGACCTTTGGTCTTTCCATTATTTATAAGTTTTGTTTGGTCTTGTTTTTCTAGACCTTAGAGTGGCATCAGAAGGTATAAATTTGAAATTTTTGTTTGTTTTATTATATAGGTGCTTATTGTTAAAAACTTGCCTTATACGGCTTTTGTTGTATCCTATAGGTTTTGATATGTTGTAATTTAATGTTGTTTGTTACAAGAAAGTTTAAAATTTTTCTCTTAATTTGTTCATCCATTGGTCATTCAGGAATGTGTTATATATATTGTTCAATTTGTAGAGCTCCTTTTATTGTCAATTTCAAGTTTTATTCCTTTGTGGCCAGAGTAGATAGGTGCTATACAAGTTTGGTTTGGTTTTTCTGAAACTTGTTTTTTGGTATCACATGTGGTTTATCCTAAAGAATATTTCTTGGACCA